TCTCTCTCTCTCTCTCTCTCTCTCTCTCTCTCTCTCTCTCTCTCTCTCTCTCTGATGCGGACAGTCCGTCGTCACGCAACAACCCACGAAGTTGTCACCCCGCTTAGTCCTCCTGTGCCCGTTGGATTCGCCCGCTTGCTACCGTCCGTTGTAGCCCCACGCGTCAATCCCGCACATTCGGCACCAGCTCGTCGGATCGCCCAACTCCCACTTCACTCACCTCTTACTTCGCTCGTGAGCCGACCCTCAATGATCGTGCTCCCCGAGTTTCCAACCACTGGTTAAGAGAGCTATCTAATCGCGCAGCCGGAATTTATAGCGTGCATGCATGTGGGAAGAACACGGAATTACAAGGACTTAGAAAGGAGATCTCTGCATGGCCAGATCGCGGCGTGGGGGACGTAGCCACTCTCCATGCATCGATCCGAGCATGCAGTCCGCGGGCTAACTAGACACAGCAAGAGAAAAAGCGGGGGCAGGAAAGACGAAGCTCTAGAAGAAAGATACAGTTACAATGGCGCCCGCCCAAAATTACAGTCAGTCGCAAGATTAAGGGCGTCGACTTATCAGAGCTCCGTTGCAGCCGCAAAAAGGAACACGCAAGCAAAAGGCGTTGCGCGGCAAAAAAGAAAATCCTAAATTCAAAAATTCCTAAATTCCTATCTAATACAAAAAATGCGGTAAACACAAATTCTGAAAAGAAAGTCCGAAGTTCCGAGAGCCATCGGGGCTCGACAAGATCGAAAAAGGAATTCAAAAAGAAAATTCAAGAAGAACGAAGCAAAATTCTCGCACGATCTCCGCGCCTACAGTCCGACAGCAAAAACAAAAAGGCACGACGTCAACCATTATTAACTGTGCGCGGGGTGGTGCGCCACTCAACTGATCACCCCACGACTTGCCCAGCCCTGAACCCAGCCATCCGAAAAATAGCGACGCAAAAAGACGAAGAAGCGAGGACACCGATGCAACTTTCCCTTCGATCCCGATCTCCCGTAATTGGCCCAACCTTCCCATTTTAGGATCCCTCTTTAGCACCTGCGCAGAAGATCGAGCGGAACAGAAATCGGTTCGTCACATATGTGATGCCCAGGGGGTTCCAATCTTAAGCAAGCTCCTGCTTGCTTGAATTTTGACACGTGTCGATTTCTCTAATCGATCGGCACGTGAAACTTTCTTCGTTGCCACCTACCGTGTGAAAGAGTGTGGAAGTCATTCATCGTGGCATACGAGGCTCTATCCTACAATTCCTCAGGAAGGGCTCTCTTCATTTCAAGAAGGCGGTCGTGCGTGCCATCGCCGAGGCACGTGCCATACTTCCTCGCATCAGTAGCCAGCAGGGAGAGGAAAGGGAAGACGGTACATGGGGGCATGCTGAGGGGGAGGGTCAATTGGGAGTGGGGGTAGAAAGCGTTTGAATCCCTCGACTATCACCGGAAGCTCCTGATATCGGACGATCCGATGGAAACGCGGGAAGTGAGTGCCACCATGGGGAAGGGATGAAAGGTAGTCGGGATAGAGGCTTGTGAAGGTACGGAGGAGGCCGTCTGGAATCGATCATGGTTTTCGCACACGGGGATCGTCCCCGTAATCGTGCAGTAGACCTTGATCATGCTGTGGCCTCGCCACGGGGCACTGAAGAGAAGGACATGGAGACAGAAGATGGGGGTGGCGCACCGGGTAGAGGCGTGCGGATGCACCGAGACAGCGAGGCGGGTAGCATAGAAGTGGTGGAAGGTTGCAGTAGGGAAGGGGTTATGGGGGAAAGAGACCGGGATGGTAATCTGACGGAGGCTGAGGAAGTCAAGGGGACGGCGGGATAATGACTGGAAACGAAGCCCAATGCCCCGCATCGACACGTGCTTGAATTGGGGGACGGGGGGATGGGGATCGGGATCTGCTCCGTTGCCTGCGCGCTGGTGCGCTCGAAGTCTCGGCAGGAGGGTCCCCATCATCGTTCTCGGGCGTCTCGAAATCCTTGGTCGGGTCGTTCGCGATCGGCACATCCGCACCACTTGTGAACTCCAGCGGCTGCTTTCCGGCTGTGATCTCCTCTCTCCTTCGTGCCGCCTCGGGGTCCTCCTCTGGAATCTCTGCGCGATCCGCCTCCTCACCCAAAGTCCCCCACTCAGATTCCTCCTCTTCCTCCAACTGATTTTCTTCTTCTTCTTCTTTTTCCTCTTCTACCTCTTCTTCCTCTTCCTCACCCGACTCTTCCTCGCTGTATTCGCTATAGCTCCCTGCTTCTTCCGAGGTCTCCTCCTCGCTTTCGTCTTCCACCTCAGCTTCTTCCGCCGCCGCTCTTTCTTCCACCTCCGTTCGGGGCGAAAAGAAGAGGGTGTCAATGATCCCTCGGGGGTTCAGGTACTCTGTGCTCGATGGATAGCTGCCACCTCCCGTCCGATCCTCTAGGCAGGCTGGCCACTGCAAGTAGGGCGTCAGTCTTTGCTGAAGGACGTGCGACACTGGACTTTCGTCGCACTGCGAGATGATATCAAGGGGAAGGTCATCGACAAGCTGCGCAAGAGGGATCGTGAGTTCCCACATGATCATCTGGCGATGGCCTGGCTCTACTGCTCCGAAGACGAATCCAAGAAGATCACCCTCCACTTCTGTCCTCCAGGCCTGGATAATCAGTAGCTCTACGCTCTCCCTCCTGGCGCGATGCTCACTGTCTTACGTCCACATCAGCTCTACCTCGACCAGACACAGCGAAAGCGTGAGGTAATAATCGCCCCAGAGTTGCCACTGTCTTGGCTCGATGAGGGGAACGGCGAGGGGCTTTAAGCAGAAGGAGAGACGGGGGTAGAGATCGGATTGCCAGAAGGTAGGGAAGAGAGAGGGGAGAGCGAAGGTCGAGATCTGGAACCGGTTCATCGACGACGCTGGAAAGGAACGAGATCTGGAAGCGTTATCGCAGGTTCGCGTCGAGACGTGCGAAGCCCGCTGACCACAATGTTGTTGGTGGGGAAAAGATTCTCACCGTGTCGCGCGAGCCACTAGTTCCTATGTGTCGAAAAATCAATTCAACACGGGTTTCGCGTTGAAACATTGAACGCGCGTTCAATTCGCGTTCAATCCCCGTTCAAACGCACGTTGGACGCGAATGAACGGGGTCCACGAACCGCGTTTCCGCGCGTTTGGAGGGGGGTAAGGGTTTTGTGAAAGTGTGGGGTGGTAGTGTCCGCTGTCGGGTACCCATTGGCGTCCTTCAGATGTTCGCGGGGTGCCTGCTGCGGTGGTGGTGCAGGGGAAACGGTCCGAACGGGTACAAAAACGGTACTCGCGTTCGGCCGCACTTCATTTGCCGCATGAGCCGTACCGCTCCAACGCGACAAACGCCGTCAAACAGGTGTCCCCTGCGTCGAACGCTGCGGACGAGAGAGAGAGAGAGAGAGAGAGAGAGAGAGAGAGAGAGAGAGAGAGAGAGAGAGAGAGAGAGAGAG